GCTGGCTGGAGGCTGGACTTTGACTGGATAGCCTCAGAGTGGGTTTGAGGATCTGTGTGGGGGGTGGGGGAGCTGGTACCGCTCCATTAGGCAGTGTCTTCTCTGTTCTCACACAGAGAGTTGGGAAATAAAGGCTTGTGTGTTTGGGACAAATGGCCGGACTCACTGATTAGAGCTATTCCAGCGACTGGTAATCACCATGAAACAGCTCCTCACCTGCGTGGTGCTTTTACAGCTGTGGTAGTCCGACACCCCGGTGCCCGTCCCGCTCAGAGGCGAGGCCCCGAGGCCCCCCGCTCGCTTTGATGCCCCTGGCTGCTGCGTAGGCTGCTTTTTTACGGCTACACACACAGGTTTGCTTCAGGATCTGCTGAGGTTACGGACAGCTGACGGAGTGCTAACAACACATTTAGGAGCAACGACCTGAGCCAAATGCTCAGGGAGGAGGCCGCCCGGCACCAGAGACAGCTGGGACACCACACACACACACACACACACACACACACACACACACACACACAGAGACACTCTTTTACTGAGTTAAATGTCCGGTGTTCCTTCAGCTGTGAGGACTGAAGCTGGCTGTGAGGAAACATCGTTTGGTGGTGAATTCCTCTGACACTTTGGCTAATGGGAATTTGTTCTGCCTCTTTATGGTTTTATTTCTTAGATGAGGTCCAATAATGGACCATAAAAATCCACTTCATCCATCTTCATTGTTGTCCTCTGAAAAGCTAGTGATGGCATGACCGTTCTGTGTAGAAAGACCCGCATTCTCAGGAAATAGAAAGGCTTTGCTTAACAGCTAAAAATAAGAAGAAACTTGTTTCATTTTTTAATCAAATCCATCCACCGTCCGTACTGCCTGCTCCTCGTATGGCTGCGGGGGGGCTGAAGCCCATCCCAGCACACACTGGCTGAGAGGCCATCTTAGATACAGTTCAGTTTTTGTTATATTTTGTGATTTTGTTAAGTCAAAAAGCCCAAATTTGCATCTTTTTTCAGCAACGCGGCTGTAAAAATCTGAAGTGTAAATTGCATTATGGCAGATTTGTTGACATTTTCATCCTCATTTCAACAATATTGAACTGCTGGGCAGTATGTGTGGACGGAGTCCTAATCTTTAAGACAACATCCATGTAAATTCCTTCCTGCCACGGTAGAAGGACTAAAGAGTGCTAGAGCTCCACATCTGGAGTCTGTTGGTTGAGGGAGACAAAGAGATCAACCACAGGATATTGCCTTTATTGGTGGGAAAGGTCGTGTCCAGGAGTTTGGAAAGAGCCTGTCTATGCTGGTTTCTACGCCCTTCACCGCCTCAGCCAGTAACTTCCCATTAGTCTGTGTTTCAGGATGGAATTTAGTTTTCAAGAGCAACCTGAGGCGTACAAAGAGGCAGAATGTGTTCAGAGAGTTTGGGAGTGAGCTGGAACATGACAGACAGCAGAAGTCCTGCTCACATCTGCACTCACTCCAGTAGAAAGTCAGGGATTCCTCAGCTGGGTGTTTGGACTGGGCTGCTTCACTCCCAACGCTTTAATGCTGCGTGCATCTAATCTGACACACAGAATTCTGAGCTCTGGAGATCTCCCACAGCGTCCTGATCAGACATGCTCAGACACTAACACCCCAGAGTGTAGACACTGTGTGGGATGGTGGTTAAAGCAGGAGAACTCTGATGCCTTTCCAAACTGGACCCATGGTGGAACAGGATGCTGACCGGCCTCTCATGTAAGTCTGGTGTGTAGAAACGAGGCATATGGACATAAACATGCTGTGTATTGATGGTTTCAGGGGAGAACAGAATGCCTGCTGAGTCAACGGTTCTTCTTTAAAAGGGTGGAGTCCCACCTGTAGAGCAGCCATTTTGGTTAGCCGTGCTTTTCTTTAGCATGGACACCATGTGGTGTCTCTGGGGTGGACACCAGCGTTTTCCCAAAGCTGTTACTGTTTAGTGCAGAGCCATTTTGAGTGGGAAAGAGTGGAAATGTGATGCTTCCAGTGTGAACGTAGGTGGAGAATATTTCTTTGCTACAAGCAGGAGATTAAATTCTTGTCGGAGTTTAACTTGTGTTTAAGAAAGGAGCGGCGCTTTGCGTGAGGTCCACAGCCGTAAGTACCTGGCTGGTAGAGCAGCATCCCTTATTCCCATGCCATGAGGTCCAGGATTTCTTCTTATTTATCCCAGATTTGCCCTGGATGCCAGCAGGAAGTGTCTCATAAAAAGTTTGGAATTTGTTTGAAGATAAGACTCCTCTAAGATGAGCTGTAAAGACTCAGGCAGGCTTCATCTATCCATCCATCCATTTCATCTACTGCTTCACCCTGGACGGTCCCCAGTCCATCACAGGGACACAGAGACACACAAGGACCAACAGCCACACACACAGTATGGACAGCACGGCAGACAGTTCTTTAAACCAGTTAACCAGCAGCCCGACAGCCGGAAGCCCCTCCAAAGGGGTTCACATCATCCAGAAGAAGTTCAGCTGAGCTGGACTCACAGACGGGTCCAGCGGAGTGCCCCCACCCCTCAGAGACCCCCGCCCTGTGGTGTGTGTGGGAGATTACAGCCATGTGTTGGTCCTCCTTTGAATCAAGAGATCCCTAAACATCTGACGGCAAAGTAGAGAAGACTTCCCAAGGCTGCTCCACCAAAGAACCGGGACGTGTGATGAAGACACGCAAATATGTCAAACAAAGCCCTGTTTTGACTTTCCTGGGCTGTTATGTGAACCTGCATGAGTATCCCTGTCAGAAACCTGAGTAGGGAGGTCTGCAGGTGGCATGGGGGCAGCAGACCTCACTTATCCGTCTCTCCTGTGTCTGCCAAGTGAGCAGAGTGTGGGACGGCAGTGGGTGTGCGTCTTAACGAGTGTGTGTGCACGGGTGTGTGTGCACGAGTGTGTGTGCATGTGCCGGCAGGACACAGCCTACCAGCATACGGACCGCATCCACTGAAAGATAGGAAGGAAGAAAGTATGAAGAGCAAAGCCTGGAAATCTTCAAAACCAGAGGGCTGCTTTTGATGTGTGTTTGCATTCCTGTGAGTGTTGGTGAAAGGGGAGCTGCTGAGCGGTAGTGGAGGAGAGGAACACTTGAAACTGAACGAGGCGCTAAGAAAAATACACACTTGGTCTCATAACAAAGGTTCTGTGAGTCTAAGACAAAGAGATGGAAGGTAGATGGGCTTTAGGGCAGGAAGGGGGGGCAGATGGAAGAAAAAGGCCATATTAGTAACAACGTCAGCAAAAGCTTTACTGAACCCCTCTGGAAGTCCTTCTGTTGGTCGGTTCCTCCCGTTCCCCCTTTCAGATATCTACAATAACAAGTGGGGTAAGTCTAAGCGGACTGTGTGGAGGGGGCAGAAAGGCAGCGCTGCCCCCCTCTGAGCCCAGCCCTCCCCACACAGCACCAGAGACCGCCAGCAGACCAGGACCTGCCCCGTCTCCGGGGGAGACCCGATGGTGAGCAGGCTCTGTGATCAGGTCTGAGAATGTTTCCAGAACTGTGTCCTCCCTCTCTGAGAGTCTGTGGAAAAGCAGCCTCACCCACAGGCTCTGGAAGATGCCGTTAAAGGTAAAAAATGTTCTTAGAGCCAGACACATCTGGTTGGGTGGTTGTGTGGGAGAGAGCAACACAAACAGTGCACCCTTAACCTAACGCCTCTCCTCATTATTAAGGCAGCTCCTGCTCCAGCATCTCTCTGTATCAGCCACTCCTTCACTGTTTTACTCCATTCTGAACCCGTTTCTATGGAGGTAGGTGTCAGTTTGAAGTGGCAGTAATCCTGCTCTGCTCTTTGATGTCACATGGCTCCGGAGGGTGGGCCGGGGAGGCCCTTATCCTGTTGGTGCGCCAGTGGTCTGCCCAGCCAACCAGAAGATGAGAAAAGAAGCGCAGCCTTGTTGTTGGTTCGCCTTTGGCCCGGCCATCTGTCCGCGTGGTGTCTGACACCTGTACCCCCCCATCAGAGCTGCCCCCGCCGGTCCCTCTGGTCTGTAGGGACAGAAGAGGCAATACAACGGCTCCTAAAAATGAAGAAAACCGAAGTGTGGGTGGGGGTGGAGGTGAAGTGAGGGACACTCCTAATGAAACTGACTTGCTTCTCTAGCATCCCACAATCCCCCAGACTGTCCCCGGTACCTGAACACATCTCCTCTCAGTGCTGATGTGCTGCAGATGTTGGTCTGATGTCCGTGGAAGGGCTCCCCAGCTAGCAGCCTGCTGCTCCCCAGCCCGGCCCGACCACGAGAGGGGCCCATCAAAGAGCAAAGCAAATTCTATCACTAAGATGATGTCAGATTGTGGGAGTTGTCCAAGATGAGATGTCTGGCTGGGAGCTAGTGGACATTTTGGCAGCAGAAAAAAGAAACAGATGCAGCCTAAACCTGTTAGCCGCCCGCCACTAATCGGCTTACATTGGCTCTGTGACAGGTGACTGGCACCTCCAGTGGGTCACAGAAAGGCTCGTTGTTACACTCGCCTAACAGTAGAGGAGGACATGTTGGAAATCCACATGAAAGCAGAGCAGCGCTTCACACATTCAGCTAACACTCCAAGATTAACAACAATGATGGACTGGCATTCCTAAAAAGTCTTCTTTTATTCCCACACCGTCCCACATTCTTCTGCCCCATCAGACGGTTCCGTGGGAGGCAGCGGAAAATCACTGCTTTGGCGTTTCAGCAGGAATTTAGCAGGAGAGGCTTCATCCCAGCATTCCGGGTTTTTCCTTCTGGGTCCAGCTTGGAGGGGGTGTGGTGTGTGCTGCCATGTGAGGCGGCGGTCAGCAGACCCAGGACCAGCACACAGGAGCCTCAATACTGTGTGCTATGTTTCTGTTTCTGCATTCAGAGGCTTTTATCCAAAGCGACTTGCAAAGCAGAGCCAGAGTTCCTGCTCTCATCAATATGACGATAAGTTCTCTGGAGGAAAACCCCCAGTCAGAGTCAGTGGAGACAGGAGGAGATAGAAGGAAGCTTAGTTAGGATAGTTAGGATAGGAGCTGCTCTGTGGAGAGGGGGGTCTTTAAGAGTTTCCTAAAGATAGAAAGGGACGCTGCTCTGTTCTTGTAGCACTTTGTAGACCAAGTTGTGACATAGGCCTTTGCAAGAGGGTTCAAGTAGACGGGAGCCAGACCCTTAAGCACTTTGTAGGCATCAGGGACCTGGGTTTGATGCGGGTAACCAGGGGTAACCAGGGGTAACCGGGGTTGACCCGTGAGGTTCAGTGAACAGAGGGGTGACCTGAGATTTTCTGGACTGATTGAAGACCAGACGCTGTGTTCTGGATCATCTGTAACGGTTTAACCGTCCAGGCTGGGAGACCCCCCCCCCCCC